ATGAAATTTTCTTAATTTATATTTTCAAGCAGAAGCTTCAATTGAAAATGGCATCCTATGGCCTGGAGACATAGCTCTAGTGCAAGTTTCAGGGGAGCTGTAATAATAATGCAGTGCCAGCGGTGACGGGGAATGATAGGACAGTGAAGAAGTAATTTAAGAAAGAAAAGAGAATGTACCAAAGCTTTATTGTAGCATATCTAATGATCTGCTGAAGATTCCCAATAGCTTTTGGAGCATGACAGGAGAAACTAATGTTATCTTGCCAAAACAGAAGCCCCTGTTTAATCAGCAGAACAAGATTATTGATTAAAACACCTCACACAATAGATTGCGCATGGAATCTCATCTCCATACGTTGCACGTGGAAAAGTGCAATAATGAGCATGAGATAATAAAAAAAAAGAGCGAAAGCAATTTGTTGGGAATTGTACAAGTCAAGATTACAGTTGAAATGCAAACAAATTATCACGGAAAGTACAGCTGTCCTTAAAGCTGAGCACAGAAGGGGATGGATGCAGCAGGGACATGGCTCCATCGTGAGCAGAAGATACTTGCTAACAGCCCTGCTGGAGCTGCTTTACTTTCCTTTTTTTTCTGTATTCATCTGAAATGTGAAAGGGCCATTCCTCATTTGCACAGTCTTCTTCCTGAGGTGAAAGGAGTTCAGACATTGTACTGTAACTGTTAATTAAACACTCCATTTGATTTTTAGATTACTCTAAGTGATGCATCTACATTATGAAAATGTAACCTTTCTTCATTCATACTAAAATCCTGAAGAAACCAGTGTTAGAGTACACAATTGCTCCTTGCATTCATGAGAATGGTGGTATTGCCTACATTTCCCCGTGCAAAACTCCTGCTGCTGCTAGCACAGGAACCTGAATTACCGTTCCTTCAGTGCTACAGTTAGTCTTTTCCTAACTAGGGTTTCAAATTTAATTCATGTATTACCTTTCCTAAATCAACTGTTATTGAGTTTGTATAGAGTTCTCTGCAGATCTGCCTTATTTCCCTGTAAATGACAAAGTCATTGTATCATAAATCTTTGTGAATATCGTGAGTGTCATAAGCGTGAAGACATTTCTCGGTGTGAGATCATATGAATTTTAAGATTGTACATAAAAACCTGAGAATTTGCGTATGTTAACATATGCTAGGGAAGTATGCAGTTAACTAGATTACAGAACACTTAAATGGTATTTAAAACCTACAGAAAACTTAAACACTAGATTACAGACACTGAAACACTAAAGTATTCGTGATTTGACTTCTTAAATTTGCAGACATTAGAGCTGGTTTGTATCATGCCTGCAGTTGGAGTAATTCTAAAAGAGTTTGGACAGATGGACCAAACTAGCAGTATATTGTGTAGAAAAAATAGCGTTGGTTGAAATGAATGAGGGACTTCAAGTTATTTGCCAGTTAAAGTTTATGGGGTTTAGATTTTTTTTTCCCCCCTGATAGTGTTGAGGCCAATTTTGCAGATTGCCAGGAACTTTATTTCCACTCTAGTCTTGTTTTGGCCACACTCAGAAAGGGCTTGCCCATTAGAAAAAGGAATGAAAACAGGTCACAGTATTGAGCTGAAGGCTATAGCAGTGTAGTATCCCTTTCACTGGTGTTTCTAAGTGTAAGGGTTTCTCAAAATTATGGAGCTCTGCTGTGGCAGCCATGTGGTAGCTTTGACAGTCTGTAGCCATGTAGGATAATCTGCGGTTTAGTGCTATTTGATGGAGAGTAGAGTATCTTTTGTCCAAAATACCAGACAGAATTCAGTGTTTCTTGTCTTAAAGAAGCTCAACTGAAACCTTTTATCAGTTTGTAAAATGGTCTTTTCAAGCAGCAGCAGAACTGTAGGCCAATAACTAATAGAGAAGTTAGTATCCCTGGTTTTACAGCAGAAAAAAAACCCAACAGCGCAGCAGACAGAAGACTTTCATTTATCCTGAGAACAAACCACAGTAGTGTAAATTCCCCGAATTGCTTGTCTCAGAACTACCTCTACAAAGTCCACTTACTCTTCATCTCTTCTCCGTAACCCATGAAGTGGGATTGACAGCTGCTGTAGATGCTGTTGGGTTTTTGTGAAGGTTTCATCGGAATTGAAATTCGACCACCAACTATGTAACAAACGGTAACCTGAAATTTCTGTGTTTTTAAATGTGACTATCTTAATCAAGTGTCTTTAATTTGAAATCTTAGAAGTGCATGAAAATCAGGACCTTATATGAAAATCGCTCACGTTTTAAATCAGAACCTTTTAAGAAAATCACTCATGTTTTATAAAATGCAACCGGCAATGCAGCAAAATCAGTGATGTGAATGTAAAAAGCTACAACTTAAAGCACAAATACTTCTATTCCTTCAGTTATCCAAGTAACTGCATTTCTTGGGGAGGTGGTGGTGGTGGTGTGCTTCGTAGCACCGCCGTGCACTGCAGCAGTGGGCATAGCTCATTGCTTTGGAATTGGGGTCTCCTCCATTTTGGCCAAAGGTGAGCAAAAAGTGGCCATATATATATGCACAGCAGGTGAAGTCTTGCATAAGGGAAGAGTCAAAAGTTTTTAGAAGGTCCATAACTTCCTGTAAATGCCACTCAGTGCCTGAAGTTTGACACTGACACTTATTGTACAAAAAAAAAAAAAAATGCATTTTCTTCTGATTCGTTACAAGGTAGCCCGAAGTTGTTCTCAATTTCCTGACTGACTGCAACATTATGAGTCTTTCACCGGAGGAAAATGAAAGAGAAGAAAACAACTTTTCACAGGGAGACTTTCATAAGATTTACAAATACTGCTAGTAAAACTTTTTTTTTTCTGCAGCTAAATATGGCCTTCATCAGTTTCATTCTCAAGCAATTTCTCCCAATATGTATCCATTTTATTTTGTAACAAATCAATATTTCTCTCTTAATTGCCGCTTATTCAAGTGTAAAATGAAATTTTCATACAGCTCAAAGCTGTGGAAACCATTATACTGAATGATGCACTACACAAAGGCTTTTTGTAGGAATTATTTTGGCTTCAGCATAAGGTTATCACTGAAGAAACAAAGAAATTTAAAGAAATTAATTAATTACAAAATCTTATATTCAAAGTTTTCTCATGCTGGTTAGTCTGGCCTGAGGTGTGAGGCATAAAAAAATAAAAAAAATAATGTCGGGGCTTAGAAAAGAGATAGGTTTTGGGCCTTATTGCCTTCTCCTGCTTCTTTGACCTTCATGTGAGTACAAAAACGTGGCTGTTTTCAGATTCAGTACAGTGATTTTCTCTTCCAAGTTGGGTGCACATTTCATCACTTCAGCAGGGGTCTGAAAGCCATGGGATGTGCCATACTCGTTCCCGGACTCCCTAATATACAGCACGAGCTGTTGCACTGAACAACGGTGCTGATGGGAGTGGTGCAGCGTTAGCTGGGCGATAGCTGTACGGGGAATCTGCCCGTGCTCTCTGGAAAGTCACTGCCACAAGCAGCGCAGAGGCGGCAGGTGAATTCCTCACCATCGATCTGTATCCATGGTTGTGCGTGTAGACAGAAATCCCTGGCTATTTCCAATTAGTTCTGCAATTACGAGCCTTATGAGGCTAGGAATAAGTAGCTTAACAAAAGGGAAGAAGGAAAAAGAAAAGAAGAATTAACTGGTAAAGTCAGAAGAGTTACTGTTCTCGAGTTTGCTCAGCAAGAGGCACAGTGTGTCCTGACCAGCTCTGTGCTACTTTGATTAGTATATAAAAAGGAAAGTGATTTATATCAGAATTCTTCAAATGTGCTTGCGCCACCATTTATGAGGTAGCGAGAGTTATCCTTGTACCTGTTGGCAATGTACAGCTGTGGAAAGCCCTTGCTACAAGATAGATTATTTTAGCTTGGGTTGTGGTATTCAGGGAGTGTGGGAAGTAGCAGGGCAATGGAGAAGTTGATGTACAGCTGGAGTCAAAGGCTAGACTATTACTTAAGTTCAGACTTCTGTTATTCAGTTTGCTGACAAACAAAACTAACCCCTGAGAAGATCAGCCAAGCTCTTTTTCTTTTAGTCACCAAACACCCTGACCCTTGCTTTTTTTCTTCCACTTCCTTCTGACTTATTTTTTCTGTATTACATTTTGACCGTCTCTTCAGGGTTTGGTGATTGGTTTTCCACTTTTAACTTCCAAGCTATTTTTTTTTCCCCTGGAAAAATTACTAGAAGTCTAAAATGTCTTGATTTTTATTATTAAAAAAACCTTCAAAAAACCTTAAATTCAGTAGACCCTCACAGAGGCAAAATACAGTAAACTTGTAATAAAGTTGTTCTTTGTACAAAAATGCATTAGCTTCCAGTGTTAAGCAAATCAGATATATGTTTCAGTATTTAGTCTCCTTTAAAATACATTTTAATTAATTTTCTTGCAGTTCTTCTTTTTAACTGTTATTCTTATTTCCTCAGACAGTCATTCTTTACTTCTTCCTGTAACCTAAGAGAGGAAGCTTAGAGTCCACCAATTGCTCCTAAAATAATTAAAATGGAAATGCTAATGCTCTTTGTCTACAATAACTCTTCCAACCAAAATAATTTCCTTGAATCACCACAAAAATCTCTCTGAGATGTAAAACCATTCAGCAGTATGTATCTCTAAAGATGGAAGTTATTGTACATTATTCAGAATTACACTTTTTTTTTCTTTTTCATTTTGTATCATCTTTGCATTTTGCTTTGATTTTATTGAACAGTAGTATCAGAGCAGTCTGTATTTGGGACAGCTATATCTACCAGTGGGAATGAGTGACATTTGAGATCACATCAGTCTCCAAATTTAAAAGTATAAAGCCCGAACTGCAATATTGTCTTGAAGCCTTATTTATGGACTTTGATCTAGTATTAATTAACTTTGTTGTCTTATGGATTGGACTGCCCAAGTGTGAAGAGAGTTAGCACTGCATATAGTTCTTTAGTATGAACTTGCAAATTAAATGTAATTTTGAATTAATTAGCTGGCTTTCTTTTCCCATTTCAGGTGCAACAACCGAACACAGTGTATAGTAGTTACTGGGTCAGATGTGTTTCCTGATCCTTGTCCTGGAACATACAAATACCTAGAAGTTCAGTATGAATGTGTTCCTTACAGTAAGTATAATCTTTTTATTCTTGCTCACTTCCTCTGGCCCTCACAATTAAAGCTGGAGTGCTGTTACATGGAAAAGAAGCATATGTTTATGGCCCACGGACCCATTATGCATGCAGAGCACTTGCAGACTAGGGCCTCCAATTAGCTTCACAAAGTGTGGAAGGAAGCCATGGTGTGATGCTGGCCAAGTGTCTGTCTGTGTTCTTAAGTGTTTGGCTTTTAAGGCTACTGTTTTTCCAGAAAACAAACTCGAATTAGCTATTCAATAGGCCAGATAGAAATTTGTACTTTTGCCCGCTACCAGTTGCTGACAAATTGGCTTGGCTCACAGACTTCTAAAGCAGGAATTGACTTCAATTTTAATCGTGATCTACTTGAAAGGCTACCTGCTGCTGTGGTGACTTTGGGTGCACAGCAAAACCCAACGCTGGCGCTCAGAGGCAAATGCCCCCGTTGGGGGACATTGTAAGAGGACTTTGTGCTTCGGGGGCACATTATAAGTGAACGCAGATTCGGAGTGAAAAATTCATCAATAAACTACTCAAACTTGGTTCTTAAAAACAGTGGGGAAAAGAGTGAGAAAGGAACGTTCACTTTTAATGTAAAGAGAAAATACAAATTGCGCCTTGAATCAGCTGCTGAAACAGAATTTTTCACTGAAAACAAAGTAAATACTGAAATCATATTGAGAGAGAAAAATTTGAAGTTCCGGCTACTTCAGCAGTTTTGTACAATGTTCTTTCTGATGCCAGAATTCAGTAGCTTTAGACGTACTTCTTATTTCCTTGCAATAATTAATGCTTTTTTTCATTGACACGTATGCATGTTTATAAAAGTTCTGCAGATTTGACACTTTTAACTGGTTTTGCTTTCTTGCAAGGTCATTCTTTGCAGTGACTTCTCCCTCGTCCCGTAACTCACCAGAGAAATAGCTGTGTTTGCAATGGAATTTGAGCAGTGCACTGATCGTTCCCTTAAGTTATTATTAAGCGTGAATTTCTTGATCTGCAGTAATCCTTAACCAAAGTCACATTTTCTGTTGGTACAGGAAACAGGCCAAGTCTGAGATGCAAAAACACTGTGGTGACAGTATATATCTAAAAAGGAAGGAAATGAGTTCTGGCATAAGCAAAGCTATGTCAAAACTGTCCATACTGTTTACTGCACAATTTTAAAATTTAGACTTCCTAAACCGAAATACTACTCTGTACTGCTTCACCACATTGAACCTTCACTGTTGTTAAAGGCCAAACACAGATCATCTGTTTTTTCTTCATTTCTGCTGTGTCATTGTGAAATGGTTGCTTGCTGATTTTTTTTTCTGTACCATTTGTAGGATTGGAAGCCTACTGCATACAGTGATCCCTAGTACCATTCCTCCTGTGTGTAGTACCGGTGGCTTGTTGTAACCGTTCTTCTCGTGCCACTTTTGAGGAGTGATGTCTTACCCCAATCTAACCAAAGTTTTGTTCCACAAAGATCACTTTTACTTTAGCGCTATTTTCATTCCCAAATTCTCAGAAAGAGGGCAGTGCATCTGATTCCAAACCATGAGGTCAGTCAAATGACAAGAGGTTACGTTTCCAGTTCCAGTAGGCTAGCTCATAGAGAAAAAGTGTAATGCACATAATGTTCAAACATAATTTTTTATGCTGTTTTAGGAAGAGAAGTGTGGATATGTTCTACCGATTGGGTATTGCTATCTACAGGAATCTTTTTCTTTTCCAGTTTTCAGAAGTATAGTGCCACAGCGCGGCCTACCCTGTTCTCTAACGTGTAGTTACTCTACTTTTAAAATGTTTGGTTTTGTTTACTGTCAATTGCATTGGCCTATCCCTTGAATTGTGTAATTCTGTGTCTATCGTAACTCAGGATTCTGGATACTTCTTGTCTTTCAAAGTCTATAGGTTTTGGAGTTTGTCAACTGCAGCATGTACAGCGATGACACTATGCCCAATTCCAGAACCGTAAGAGGCATCACCTGTCGTTACCAGCAGTCATCAAAAAGATTGCCAGTCACTAAAATCGGTTTTGAAGTTTTATTTCAAGCCACGTTTTGCTTCAGTAGCAGTTTTGATTGTTGACCATCTTTCTTCCCTGACCCACAAAGCCTATCTTGGTAGTTTTCCAAGTCTCTTTTTTTGATGCCTGATAAACTCCAATTTTTTTTCTCCCTTACTCGTTCCAGTGCTCCATGTCTAAACATGCGGAATGACTGAAATCATTAGGTTTGCAAAAAGCAGCTGTCCCACCATAAGAGACTTCTTAGGAAGGTGGGATAGGCTTCTGTGGGTCTAGGAAGGGAGCTTTTTAGTGATCACAGCACTTCTAACCAAAGTTCATTTATGGTTCTTACTTCTTCTGAACTTCAGTGACTGCAAGACTGCAAAATTTGCTGTGTCTTACTGTGGCACCTTTCAGGCCATGAGAGTTCACAAATTGCAGTCGTACCTGGTTTTGTGGTGAAAGTTGGGACTTCTTACACACTGGAGTTGGTGTCACCCTTGTACAAAACGCAGTTTATGAGCTCCTCTATGTCTTGCTGGCCTCCAGAAATACATAGCTGCCTTGTTGATTATACATATTGATTGAGCTTTCTCTGGGTTCTGTATTCATTGCCCTCATAAGAAAGTACTTAATGAAAAGCTTCCTTTTTTGCATCTCAAAAGTGTAGACCTGATGCTGATGGTTTTTTAACCCTCTTCAGTAAAAGAAAAAAACCCAACTGTTGAGATACTTGGTTGGATCTCCAATAAAACTAAAATTCTAGACAAATTTGATAGGCATTGCTTTGTCCTAAAATAAGAGTATTATTGATTAAATTACAAAGAAACTGAGAGTATCATACTTGACATTTCTCTCAATTATGCTGCACAATGTATGTTGACACTTCGACTGAATAACAGAAGTCAGCCCTTTTATGAAGAAGAACATCAAAAGTACCATTTTGTACATCTGTGCATTTTTATTTTAAGCCTTTTTTGGACTCAGGAATTCAATAGAAAACGTTTTAAAGTGTTTTATTCTCTCTCTCTCTGTATTGATTGGACTTTGCAGCATTTGTTTATTTCAATAAGCCCATCTGTCCCTGAAAAATGTACAGCTGTACACCAATGCACGCAGAGCAGACATGCCAGTAATGATTTTAGTTATCCCTGTCTCTTTCCCCCTCTCCTATTACTGATTCTAAGCAGGTACAGTATCAATATTGCTCTTTGGCAAGGAATAAACTCATGCATAAAAGTTCACAAACAGAATCATCTCAAAGTCATTAACACTGATTGTGTAACCCAGGAATTCACCTCAGAATACATCTTCTGTTTACTTGGATAACTCAGAATTACAAATTGGAGAAAAACAACTATTTTACCTAAAGATGTATAAATGAACAAAGGCTAGGAAAACCACTGCTCATTTTTGAGAATATTAGCCCCCTCCCACTCCCCCGTAAAGTTTTGGAATTGTTTCCTGAAGAAAGACTAGATCGGCTCAGCCAATACCATCCTCTCAAAATAATCATACGTAATTTTGTTAAATGAAACTGAAAGTCCAAAACTTCGTCTGAAACATACAAATACATTCTTCAGGATAATACCGTAATACTGAAAACGTAATAGCTGTGCAAATAGTTTTGCTACACTTCCTTGGTATCAGCAGCTACGCTTACACAGATTGGTACATCTGTCATTTTCCAGGTCATTTTATGAAACTGAGGGAGCGTACTTCAAAGGCTACTGAGTATATGAAATAGATTTTATTGCAAATAATTATCGGAAAGCTATTTACTAGCTGGACTTCAGCTATACGTCTTCCTGTAATGTGTTCCTTAAAACTTCCCTGGGGAAAAATTGCTATAGTAATATAACTTTGTTAATCGGGTTCGTTTTATATTTTCCGTGTATGGTGGTGGGATGGATATTTGTTTTAAACACTTTAGTATGACTGTCCTTGCATACTAGCTTGCTGTTTCGGGCTTAATCGATGATGCTGGAGAATTATCTTAATGAGCTAAATGTTAATTTTTTCTTCTCTTTTCCTCTTGCTTACTGTGCTTTTGCTTCTTTTTTCTAGATGTTTTTGCTTATTCCTTCTAGTCTGATTTTCCAGTTGTAGACTAAGAAGTGGCAAAAGTTCTCAAGATTAACATTCAGGAAAAAAAAATAAAGCCTAAGGAGAGCTAAAGGGTGCAAGCTGCTTTCTTTACAAGAAAGAAAAGCAGAGGGATGTCTGGGGCAAAGATGGGGGAAGGTTTAATAAGCACACATACAAACCTATATAATTAATATACTGCATTTTGGATTTATAATTATCTAATTAATATAATATGTATATGTGCACTCGCACATATATGATAAATTAATGTGTCACTTAAAAACCAACTTGACGGCATTATGCTTTGAGAAGAAGAAGAGTATGTATAGCATGCATTAGTAAAGTCATTCATTATTTATTCAGGTTCACTAAGTGAAACTACATGCCAACATATCTGTATTGCCTCCTTAATCTACTAAAATGATTGATCCATGTTCACTTGTGTAACCGTAGAATCTCTCTCCTGCTAGGTTTTCCTGTTGTCTGTTTCTCTTTATCCAATATAGTGCAGTTCTTATTCTCCCTATATTTAGCGTCTGTTACTAATTTAATCTTTAGATTAATAGTCAATTTATGTTAATCTTCTTTCTTTTTTCCTTGCACTTTTTTATTTTTCTTCCGATGCTTAAAATAGAAGTGGAGCAAAAAGGTAAATAACGTATACAGTCCAAACCCCAGCTCCTTGTTATGTGCCTTATGGATGTTAACCTCTTCCCTTCCCCTCCCCACAACACTCTTATATTATGATAATCAGCAGGATCTCATAAGTACACCTCATAAAGAAGTCGACTGTTTGCAATAAAGTGACTTGGCTGCTTAAAGTAGGTGGCGGGGTATAGTGTCTGAAATACTTGGGCTGGAGGGAAGACTCCCTTGCTTTTTTCTCTCCCTTTCTCTTTGTCTTTCTTTCCCTCTCTTTCTCTCACCCTTGGGTAAATTCTTGTTAATCAAGTGTCATCTTGCCTGGCTTCCAGAACCCTCTCCATAGCATGCCATGGTTACAGGGTTTCCTGGTCTGTTTCATTCATTGCTTTGGTTGTGTTTTGTTTTCTCTGCTCCTAATTGCTTTTTCTATATACCTGATGATTTGTTTTGTTCCTTTATTTTTAATCGAGGCACCTCCTTTTTCAGCCTCACCACTTCTTAAAGTTCTAAACAAGTCGATGTGATTTTTTTTTTTTTTGGACTGAAATGACCTAGCGCACTGCTGCACACCAGTTAAAAGCTCTGGAGCGTTAATGCGTACTCACTAAAAGTCTAAGACAAAAATGCAAGAGTAGCTCTACATTTTCAGCTGTCTGTGTATGCCATTGAGCCTTGGTCTGTACTAGTGAAAACAGTTCCCATCCACTTTCCATACTGGTACAGCAAGAACATGGTAACTTTAAGAAAAGTGGATGATAAAGGGTGATAATTGCATTAATTATAACATAAGGTATAATCTAGTGCCAATTAAATTGATTTTTTTTCTTCCTGACACAGTCATTATGATTTACCTACCTTTTTTTTTCTTTTATTTTTTTTATCTTTTTATTATGAGACAGTCTTAATTTGATGTAATTCTTGTCTTACTTCTCTCTGTGACTGTTAGTTTTTGTTTGCCCGGGGACGTTGAAAGCAATTGTGGACTCACCGTATTTATATGAAGCTGAACAAAAAGCAGGTGCTTGGTGCAAAGATCCTCTCCAGGCTGCAGATAAAATATACTTCATGCCATGGACTCCATATCGCACCGATACTTTGATAGAATATGCTTCTTTAGAGGACTTCCAAAACGGACGCCAGCAGACGACGTATAAACTCCCCAATCGAGTGGATGGTACTGGATTTGTAGTGTATGATGGCGCTGTCTTTTTTAACAAGGAAAGAACTAGGAACATAGTAAAATTCGACTTGAGGACTAGAATTAAGAGTGGAGAGGCCATAATCAATTATGCTAATTACCATGACACCTCCCCATACCGATGGGGAGGAAAGACTGATATTGACTTGGCAGTTGATGAAAATGGCTTATGGGTAATTTATGCTACGGAGCAAAACAACGGGATGATAGTAATTAGCCAGCTGAACCCCTACACCCTACGTTTCGAAGCCACCTGGGAAACGACGTATGACAAACGGGCAGCATCCAATGCTTTCATGATATGTGGCGTCCTGTACGTGGTGCGGTCGGTGTATCAGGACAATGAGAGCGAGACGGGCAAGAACGCCATCGATTACATCTACAACACCAGGTTAAGCAGAGGCGAGCACGTGGACGTTCCTTTCCCCAACCAGTACCAGTACATCGCCGCAGTGGATTACAACCCCAGAGACAACCAACTGTACGTGTGGAATAACAACTTCATTCTGAGATACTCTTTGGAGTTTGGCCCACCTGATCCTGCCCAAGGTACGAATGTGGTTTTTCTCATTTTTAATCTCTTTGTACTTCCATTCAGATAACCATGTTACGATACCTTTGGTCTTAGACCTAGCTCTTGGCAGAAAGGCAAGGAAGGGTTGTTTGCACTGTGCTGAGCGGTACGTCGGTGCAAGGCAAATTTGCAGCACCTGTGAAGGGAGAGAGAATTACTTCCTTTGGTTTACAGGCTTGTACTTTTCTTCTTTTCTCTGTGTTTGAGAATGAGTTGGGGAGCTGTTTATTTACTATGTACCGTCAGTCGTTTCGACTTTCTATAGCTAAAGTAAGTTCATTCACGCTGAGCCAGAAGCCTGTTCCCGTCCGCTTGGTGTTACCTGACTTCCGAATCGATTACAACATACATGCAGACCTTTTAACTGCCTGGCGCCAGCAGCTGAGAGTGGTGTGTGCTGGGAGGTCCCAGAGGAGATGTATGGGGTTAATGTGCGATACCAAGCATAAATATTTTTTCCGCAGCCCTGTTCTCTCCGTTTCTAATGCTGGGTTAGACAAGATTATCCGACCTCTTTTTAGCAGGTTTCTCGGTAAGTCCATTACAATTTCAATTCAGCTCACTTGAAGTTAGAACAACTGCCTGAAAGGAAGGACACTAACTGCCAAAAAGGAAAGAAAACCGGAGGTCTTTAGGTCTCAGAAATCCCTAAAAATGACAGGAAAAGGCACAGCCACATATTAACATCTGCAGGGGAGAGTAAATATCAAGAGAAATGCTCCGTGGCAGAAGATACATGCAGCAAGGAACAGAATGTTGATAAGCTGCTTTAAGTGATGAAGGTAACACTTCACTTCTCTCATCTAACTGGTATGCATGTTTAGCAGCCGTTTTTTCTACTTCAAAAAAGCAGTAATAATGGCTTCTCCATGTGAAAAGTAGCTATCCTGCTTCAGCGAAGCGGATTCATGCACAGCAGTGCAAACCACATAGTGTGCACACGACTGTATCAACACGCGTATAGCTTTTCCTAGGTACACAAGTACGTAAGACGCAGCAGAACAAGGCAGTTTAAAACCAATGCATTAGTGATCTCCAGAGCCTAGTAAGAAATCTGCCCAATCTGTCTCCTGTCTCTCCTGGCCATACATGGCCAGGCTCAGGCAGGTTCCAGGTGTTTGGGGGCTGAGCTCCGGCGGCGAGGGCAGCCATCCTGGAAGCTTTGCTCTCTGTACATCAAGCTAGTCCGTTCCTGAGGCAGTCTTTGGGGCTGTTCTTAGCAGAGACATACCCACCCATGTAATTAGAAAAAATTTATAGCTTTCATTTTCATACTTTCTCATGCATGTCACTTTTCATTCGGTTAAACTGAGATGAAGATGAATTTTAAATTCTCCAAAGCTTTAAGAGTAAGAGGAGAAAATGGAGGTGCAGGCTCTAAGCAGCTTTTGCAGTCCAGGCAGCTGCCATGAATGTGGCAAAAGCTAATCTTTAAATCATTGCATTGAGGGACAAGTGTTAAGGAAGAGCAGGGAGCAAAGAAAAAGCTTTGTGGAATCCTTCATTTGCTTTAATAAACCACCAAAGGTCTCCAATAGGACATTTCATAATGTTTTTATTATGGGAGAGCCTCCAAGATCCTAAGATACAGTACATGCGCTGACCACAACCCATCTAATATCAGAAAGAGACCTGGGCATCTGCCAGCACCCCTTCGTGTTCCTGGGTTCCTTGCTGGCATGCAATGCAGGGGGAGAAACAGTTCAGTCCAACCAGACCTAGGCGAAAAGGGGTCCGGGGCACCCTGCAGGGTGCTTGCCCGTCTGTGCTCTTTGCCCATTCACCCATGAAGACAGAGAAGGAATATTTTCATGAGTTTGGGTTTTAAATGCGTTATGACATCAGTAAATCTATTTTGCTTATGGCCTTTTTAAAACATCGAAACCGTATGAAGACACTAAGCTTATTTGAATATGGGATGCATATATTCACAAACGGTATTTTTTCCTTACATAAAGTCAATATCCAATATTTTAATTTTGTACGGATCTGTACATAACAGATCTAAGAATATGTTTCAGTTCATTTCCTCTTTTGCCTAAGCCAATTGCCTGTAGTTAAAGACTACTAAATTAAAGGAAAAATTATCTAATATGATTGTCCTTGAGATGTACTGCTATAAAGCCAGGAAGACATTCTGTACAGTTTCTAACTCTATTTGTATTATATTCTCAGTTCCTCTTTGTTTCAGCATAAAGTCTGTATAAATTGGAAGATCAGTCCTTCCATTATTACACAGTTAAAGGATCTACATGTGTAATACACATTTGGATTCTTTTATCTCACATGGAATTAGATCAGATTTTCAGCACATTTGATGAAGGGCATTTTTGTGTTTCTTTTGTTCTGGTTTGGGTTTTTTGTGGTTGACTCAGGTTTCTTAATCATCTACTCAAAGGCATAGGTGTTAGGATAACATTCTTTAAGTCACCTAACACAAGAACCTTCTTTCAGTGTCTTTTGCAATGGTACTTTAATATCAAGTATTTAATGGTGTCACCAGGTCAGTGCCTCAAAATTGGAAGTCGTGGCCTTTTCTGTTCGAATGGTTAACTTGGGGCCATTGTGGGAAACACCGCAATCTGTGTTCCCTCTGTTGCCGTGGGAGCAATAATGATATATAGACACACACTGATTCTTGTTTTTTTCCCCATCTATCTGTCTTGGCTATCACTTCTTGTCTACACCAGAACTTCCAACTACTGAGTGCTTCAAAAACTAGTCTTTCTTCCTACATGAAAGATGAATTTGTCACATTTGAGTCACAGTTTTGAGCTCAAGGGTTTACATTTGCTCCCAGGGCTAAAATCTTGGACTCATCCATGACCCCAAACCTGCCTTTTTTCTCTCTGTTGTTTCTTTCATTTTTAAATCTGCCTGTTGATACCTCTGAAATACCACTGTAATTAACCTAATGGTGACCTTGCCCTTGCTGGAAACCTACACCATTTTCTCCTCTTGCAACTGTCCATGATATGTGCTCGCTGTATCCTTATTTTCTTAATCTTCAAGAGGACTCTTCAGATTTCTAAAACTGTGGATGCTGCAGCCAGGCTCCTGTTTTACCCCGACGATGGGGTCTGCTGCCCTTAGAACTCCCCCCTTAACCTCATTCTTCATGTGTTGTTTTTTCTTCTCTCTTCTCATGGGAATTTTAGTACATTGATGTAGAAATGGTTTTCAGAGCTACAGCTGACAAGTACCACTCAGATATTGCAGAACAGCACATTTTCTAAGGTCAAGTGTAAGAATTAAATTTAAAAATCAAAACCTTAATTTAGAAAAAAAAATAATAATATAACAGGCCCTGCAGAAAGCCATTATGGAAAATTCAAAACAAACCAGAGGTTTTACATCCTTGGTAAATTTGGTGGATGTGTCCTGTTACATTCTTTTTAAAGGAGGTATCCAAGGGACCAAATGAATCCTCGCTGAAATAGAAATTTTTGAAGGAATTTTAATTTGAAAGATCAGGAAGAATGAAGGGCATTTTCCCCCTAAAAAGTGAATATGAGCATTACATTGTAAGGTTTCCTTGGTAACAAAAAGAAGATAAATCCTTTTGTTCTGTGTTAGTGCATTAGGGAGAGATTTCATCCACACATCCCAATTTGCACTAACTGTGCAAACTGTTCAAACTGAAGTTGTCTCCCCTTTTGTACCATGATACCCATCATTAAGTTATATTGGATCACTGCAGGAAAATATGGATGTTGTGAGTGTGGACAGGACAGAAACTCGGAGAATACTATCACCAAGGGCTTGAAATAATAGGAAATTAGTGCAACTAAATCTATAACATCAGGAATCTACGACAAAGTCATGCAGCAAATCGTTAAGTAAATTAGATCTTTACTATTACATCAAATCGGATATACTACAGATTGATTAAAGAGTGGTTGTACAGGTAAAGACAACATAATGGGGACCAGATAGCACATTTCTTGATCATAGCTATTTTGCTAATTGTGTGGTGTATTTGTTATCATTTTCAGGGTATAAATTTATAAATGGCTGTGTAAACATTTCGCTTTCAGCTAAAGGAGATTTGGCAGGGTCAATAGAGTACTGGCTAGCATAATAGCTGGAACCTATAGGTAATTAGGTGGGTCTTAGTGACTTCCCTGCTATTCACTGAAGCGTGAAAACAGGCACACAGCGGTAATAAGCAGAAGGCAGGGAAATCTGGATTTGCACAGGTTTCTGATCTCCGTTGCTTTACACGGCAGCTCAGTGTATGGCACCTTTTGAAAGCGAAGGCGGGCTCATAGATTTTCATGTGTCCGAATACATTGAAATACCTGACCTGTAACTGCAAACTGAAAAATCCATGCAGCTGATTTCTAAAATTACCTAGATGCCGGAGATGAAAATGGAACCATTAGTATTTTCAGAAGTGGCTCATCAGCTGGGCGTTTCAACACTATTTTAAATCTAAGGTCAGAGTTGTATTTTGGGTGGGGATTTTGTTCTTTTGGCTTGGTTTGTTTTTCTTTAAAACATATTTTATACCTGCTTAAAATAGAAACCTGTTGGCAAAGAATACTAGATAGCTTGTGTGCCTTAAAATCTACTCTTTGCTGTCAGTTGGGGAAACAAATTTACTATTCTCCTGCTGTCCTAGGCAATTGTGTTATGTTTTTTATAGACATCACACTGTTAAACAGGTGTTAAGATTTACTCCAGTGGTGTCTTCATTTTTAGAAACAGATAGTATGCATAACTCTTTAAATCAGCTGTTAGGAACTGCATGAAACAAATGTAAATTAATTACCCTCAACTTGTGTCTTTGGATTTACTTCCTATTGCTCTTTTCTTACTTTTTTTTTTTTTAATTTTACAAAGACTGTCTTCAGCTGATAATGAGACACAGCTATCCTTAAAAAAAGGAATAAGGCAGAAGAGGTTTTGGCTTTCTCTTCGGCACATCAAGTCAAGTCAAAAAGTCCAAAAGAGAATCTGACGTTGTAAAAGTGGATTTTTTGACATTGGACAAAAATGACTTCTCTTCAGCCTTGTAGAGGCTCACCCCTGCTGCTTGAAGCGATAGGTTAATAACCTCGACGTGGAGTTTGTTCTTCTTCTTAGTTGCGGCGTATTAATCATCGCTGCCATTATCTTACATTGGCCAAGGGCTCCGCAAGACAGTGCATGGGAGCTGGTGGTTGCCATCAGCCTCAGCTTTCAGAACGAGATGCATCAGGTGGTGGCAGCTATCATGTGTCTTCTTGCAGCTCAGGAGAATGGTCTTGCAGATTATGTTACCCAACAGGTCATTAAAAACAAAATGATCTGTCTTCTAAAAGCTAGATGTATTCCTTCAAGTGATGTGTTCGGTCCTTTCTTATTTTTTCAACCTTCTTCTTCCCCAGACTTCCAGCACTGGCTGAAGTTCCCTGGTACATTCTTAAATATACTGACTTCTCCTTTTTTTAAATTGAATTCAAGAGAAGACCTCTTAGAAAGGATCTGTATTTTTTCAGTTTTGTGAGAGAGGTGGTTTGAAATCCTTCTCCTAAAATGTGAGGTTCTAAATACATTTCTAAAGTCTGTACTACTACTAAGCTATGCAGGTCATTTTTGAATCATAGGTGATACGCTTTGAAATTGATTTTAATGGATAACATTAAAATTGTTCTACCTAAAGTTGCGTGACGACAGCAGGATACTTCAGCTCAGGGTGCAGCACAAAATATGTTCTGAAAATTGTTACCTCGCTGCTGAACTTCGGAGAGTTGTTATGAATTCTTACAGTGATATTTTGCTCCTGAGACAAAGCTATCCTAAACATTATAGGTTTTGAGTAGTAATTGCAATAATGCTAATACACATTTCAGTGATTAAATACGTACTAATTAGCACAACGTGTTAGGGGATGGATAGTAATAATTGGTTGTCCCCTGCATCATTCTCCGTCCCCACCAGTTCCCCGTTCCCCAGGACCTGATTCAGCAGGCGTTGCCTGACACTTCTGCAAGTGATTGCAAATGCTTTTGACAAATGTTAATTGGGAAAGCACGAGAAGGCTGGATGCCTTGTAATCGAAAGATTACAGCAGTTTCACAAGATGTCAGGCAAGCACTTGCAGAACAGATCCGGGGATTTCAATAGGTTTCGTAGTAGCTGGCTACGCCACGAGTTCAGCGCAATTCCACAGGCTGGATTCAAGCAGCCAGGAATGAGGCTGAGGAGAAGAGAGCCTCTGAAGGATTTTCTCATTTGTGAGCAAGAGAGGGATGAAAAGCACATCTTTGCATTTAGTCTTGAAAAACAGATTGTGATGTTCAAAAACTCCACTCTAAATTCATATGAAAATAAAAAGATAAATTCGTATTTGAGACTCCTAATATAACTGAAATATAATTGAAAAAGGATTTGGAAATAATCGTTATCTGCCAAACTACTGAAAGTTAATCTTATTCAAAACACTAACGTAAAAAACATCTGCTGAAAGAAAGCGAGGCAGCTCTCCTCTTGTTTTTTTGTTTATGATTTAATTTAGAGAAGTTGCATTGTCCAGCAAGCCAGAGTTCAAGGGCCTAGCAGAAGAAGAAAAAAAGAAAGAAAAAAGCCTCTTTATCCACTGAAGTTAATCCCAAAATTAGCTTCATTTATTTCTGTATCAGTTAGGATTTAAAAAATGCTTGATATGAGCTTATTTCTTCTCAGCACAAGGATCTGTGCTGTTACTTGCCAATAAAGCACCATAAACACTAATGAAGATTTGGAAATAATTAATGATAACTGCTTCAGTTGCGCTGCTCACTTGCATCGTTTCAGCCATCGCTCGATATGCATTTGAAGGTGATGAACGGGAATTCCGGACCGTTATCTCCGCTAGCATTAACTAGTATTATCTCTCCAAAGCCTCCAAACCGTGGCAGAGCCAGGGCGATGCCTTCCCGGCGTGGGTCAGCGGACTGAGCAGCTGCGAGTCCCGGGCAGAGGTGATTTGGCCTGAGCCCATCCTAGTGTTCCGTAAAAGATTAAACTAGGCACTTGCCACTGGCTTGAACGACTTGTGGCTTCATACCTGCTTTATCAAAAAAAGGATGTTAAGGCCCGAAATGTTCAAACACGAGAACACCACGTACGTGGTAGGCGCTGCTTCTGTTCGGAGCTAATCGGGCATGCTGCAGCGCTCTCAAGCAGAATGACTGCCGGGTAGGAAGATGTTATCGTAATTATTTTCCTGGAAGGTGTGTAGTGGGTGACTTGAAGTTTTGGGGTCTGGTTTTTTTTTTTTTTAAAATGGTCTTGTTAGTTACAGCCCACTGCCTTTGTTGTTAAAGCTGGACTGCATTGTTCATGGCACGCTGATTCCAATGATTCTGTCTATTGTGTGCTTCCTTCTGCAAAAGTGATTAAGTGATCTTTAATTGCTTTGAGCGGGTTTGTTATGTCCTCATAACTCACCAGTACTGCCTTTCAGCCTTTAGAAATTTAACTATCCATTTTTATTATCTGGGAGAGTTTATTTGCAGAATGTGCTGAAACATCATACTGGTATGAACTGGGATTTAAAAAAAAAAAAAATATCAGTCAAAGTTACATCTTAAGCACCCAGAATAGCAATAAGAGTAATATTAAGATAAAGGAAAGGAGACACCAGAGAATCCTTTAAAACTACATAAATAACATTTAAAGAACTTTTTTTTTTAATAATTCTGAAGTCATTTACTTCATTATTACTCTCGTTTTCTCTGTGCAGTGCCTACCACAGCAGTGACGATAACTTCTTCAGCAGAGCTATACAAAACCACAGTGTCAACCACTAGCACTACACCACAGAAAGGCCCCATAAGCACAACGTTAGCTGGAGGAACGAAAGAAGGAAGCAGAGGACCCAAGCCACCGCCACCCGTTTCCACCACCAAAATTCCTCCTGTGACAAGTTTTTTCCCTTTGCCAGAGAGATTCTGTGAACCGACTGAGGCCAGGGGGATTAGCTGGCCTCAGACACAAAGGGGAATGATGGTTGAGCGCCCTTGCCCCAAAGGAACACGAGGTATTGCCTTTAAAAATATATTTTGATTTCAAGCAGACATTTCAAAAGCAATGTGCCGTGCTTTCATGGTGAATTTTTTTTGGATCTCAAACTGTCTGTCACATTATGCTTTGTTACTTGGAGAATGCCGTATCTACAGGCAATGGTCAAGTTTTAATCTGCAAATGGCATTTGAGCGTAGCTGCAGAATTACCTTGCGCATGCGCTTTTGGGAATCCAGGTCAAATTTTAGGGCTTTGCTTGAGGACTGTTGTGAAATATGCTTACAGCTGCTTTTCTCATTATGAGCTCCCCTCTGGATTAGCTCCAGGAAAAATCAAGGGCTTTTTGTTTGTTTGCAGAAAACGTCTGGTACTTTTCACTGACTTTTTTTATTGCTGTTTGTAATCTACATTATTTCCTTACGTTTTTGTCAATTATTGTCAACTACTGCCATTAGCGGCATTCAGAATTTAACATTGCCTAGGAGCACAGGGTAGCCGATTTCCTGAATGCATGCAGAAAAATGGTTTCCATTTCACTGTACTTTTCTGCATCTGTTGTAGGAACTGCCTCGTATCTCTGCGTGGTCTTAACGGGAATGTGGAACCCCAAAGGCCCTGATCTTAGCAACTGCACCTCACACTGGGTAAATCAGCTGGCTCAGAAGGTTGGTTGAAACCTTTTAATCTGGTATACACTGGTGATTAAGGATTTTAACTCTGAGCATTAATAATTCAGTTTGTTGAAGCTGTCTTTATTACTCTGTGTTCATTTAAAGTCAAAGGAGTTATGTGTACTTTGCGTGCAAAGCGTTGGCCAACAGTTAGGTTCATATGTGTGTTTTGGTACGCTCTCCCTCTAAGTTCTTGGATTGGATCAGTGATTATTTGTTTTCATTGCTATGTAAAGTGAAGTAGCCTTGCTGGTGTTCAAAAAAAAACCCCACTATATTTGCTTAATAAATCAAATATTATAAATCATGCAGCAAAACCTGGTGTACAGCAAGGTTTTTTGGTTCAGGAAAAATTATACTGTAATAAATAGAATTTTGTCTGTGTGCATTAATAACAGTATGATTAGAGCACAGAGCCACTTTCTGTGTTTTCCCTCCCTACTGAGATTTACTAAGTTTATGAAAACCGGATAATTTGTTGTCAGTACCAGGCTACTTGACTTTCAAATGCCTCAAGCACTAGTATGAACAAATAGATTTCTTACTGTCTGATAATGGCAGTAAAATAAAAGTGAGGATGAATAGAAGATCTAGCCCAAAAGTCCCAGTCTGATTTCTGGTTTTGATGGCTGTTAAGAACTGCTTTTGTGTGTCACGGATCTAAGAACCTTTAATCTTCTGAGATAAAGAGAACGTTATTGGTCTCAATTAGTTGCAGATTTCAATGTATGTGCAAATGGTTATTTCACCACAACAAAGGTACAGGGGGAATTGGAATAAGGAGCCGCAAGCAGAACAAGGGATCCTGCTGAGATAATATAAATTGTCATTTCAGATCAGAAGTGGAGAAAATGCTGCTAGTCTGGCCAACGAACTGGCTAAACACACCAAAGGACCGGTCTTTGCTGGCGATGTTAGTTCATCAGTGAGGCTGATGGAGCAGCTCGTGGACATTCTGGATGCTCAGCTGCAGGAATTGCGGCCCAGTGAAAAAGACTCTGCTGGAAGGAGTTATAACAAGGTACACACCTCCTGTCATCTCCTCCTGCTGGGATAACCATTGCCCTTGGTTTTTTTATTTTTTTTCCTTTCAGAAATATTAATCTATACTTTGTTCCTGCGTGCTCATAGTTCTGGAATAAACATGTAGGAGAAAACAGCAGTAAATACACAGCGGAAAGTTGCAATTACCTTCTTTAGGGAATAAGATATAATTCACAATAGCTGACTGGTCCTAAAATACATAGCTGTGTTCCTTATTAAAATCTGGAATGCGTTATAACTAGTGTGAGGGAAATGGGCATTAGCTCTCAGAAATTCTGTAACAAATCAGCATGTTTACCCAGTGATCCTTTTAACCCCGAACATGTAATAAAACCAGTAGGATTCTGCATAGGTGCAGGGGTTTATTTTAATCTGACTTCCTGCAGAATAATAGCACTTTCTTAGCCTTTTCAAGACGCCAACATCACTTATAATTGATCTTTGTAAAAATGCCTTAATACGCATATCTAAACCACGAATAAGTGTTTTCTCCAGAATGATGTTCAGAGAAACATTTCAGAGAAAACGTGTGTCTCTGTGGTTTAAATACAAATCACAAGTGTTCTTACCATTCCTGTTTTTCTCAGAGGAAATGCTGTATTTCCCGGCCTCTTCCTTGCCTCAGCTTAGTCAACAAGCTACAAACGAAACATTTTTTGAGCCTCCTTTACAGAGAGAGCTCCATGGACTCCTCTGTTATCTTGGCAATAGTTTTATGTACGATCCCTAGCTGCCCTTAAAAGAGTTTTCCCAGAGACAGATCAAGCGCCCCCACAGGGGGATTTTCTCCTTTGACCTTTTCACACAAATCCCACCATTTGGGCAAAGATACCTGGGCACCTGTATGAAGGTTGGGGAAAAACGTTTCCTGTGTGATGGTTTTTTATAGTCATCTCTGGACAGAAGCTAGAATAATGTCCAGGCTATAGTTCAAATTCGGGATTTGAAACACCAGACTAATTTTTTTGGTATTTCTGAAGCTTTCCAGAATGTGTCTAACTTCTGATTTTCTTTTTTCTTACTAAAAAGCTCCAAAAACGAGAGAAGACATGCAGGGCTTACCTTAAGGTATCTCTCCTGTGCTGTCACCCTGCTTTCTCCCTGCTTCAGCAACCTGCCACGCTTTATCATCTTGCTGCATGATCCTATGTATTTCAGTCTTTGATAAATGTGTATTGTGCCCCATATCAGCTGTACAAATGTTGGCTTTACACAGGTATAACACTCAGAAAAAAAAAACCTAAAGATCAAAGTTTATACCTCTTTTACCTCAACTTGTTCAAAACTAAAAGAGCAGAACTGGTTATTATCTGAATTGGAAGTAACATCTCTCTCATAATACAACTTTCGGTAGAGGAAAAAGCTGGCAACTTAACAGAAATTACTTGAGCTTGGTAGTATTTTATATCAAAGACTGTTTAGAGTTAATTTGCTTGCATGAAAAATGTACATTATATAGCCTGCTTTGTTCTTTGTGTATTCTTATACCTAGTGAAATCACTCTTTCTTACAGTTTTAAGAGTTGTTACAAAGGCCAGATTCAGTGACTTCAGGATAAAACATAAAGACAAGCATTTCTCTAACTTTACTAGTAAAATGTGTGCCATGTGTCCCATTAACCAGGCTATACGGAAGGCATGTAACACGTTGCTACCCAATTTTCAGTTCCTTTCACCCGCTGTAGAATGGTTGTCTAGTGGCCAGCTCTTGCTCTGCAGTGCAACGCCAGTAGTGCCACCTCGCACCTCTGAAGGAGAGAAGAAAGACCTAGAACAGAGCGTGTCTGGCTCTGAAAAATTTTATTGCACGTTTTTTCAAAGTTTCTTTTAAAATACTGATTTTTTACTTGTACCTTCGAGATAAGATGTAGGCATGATTTTTGAAAAGAACTTTGAAGTACTTTGCCACATAATAAAATAATTCAGGCTCTTACTGAAGAGACATTTCTCTGTACAGGGCGCTTCTGTCATTTATCCTGCAGCCCAGGAACTGGATGGGAGATGTCCAGCTATGCAAAAATTTGACAAAAAGAGACAAAAGATCTGGAGAGAGATTCACTTCTCAGATAATAATAACTGTAATAGGTTTTTATTAGAAAATATTTTTTTTAATAGTAAAGGGAAATCCATCAGATACGGTTTGAGTAGACTCAGTCTTCATGCTTCATTTTCAATAGTAAACAGGACCATGAGAAGAGCAGTCATGGGGTTGCTCCAACAGCTGTGCCACGGGGGCTGCGTGGGCTTCCCACTGCCCGCTTGCCTCTGTCTGAGAGGAGAGAACGCCTCGGAAATGTTGCTGGGCAGGTGATCATTTTCCACAGGAAAAATGATCCCGTAGTAAATAAAAAGCCTTTCATATTACTGAATGCATACCATCGGCGCTATATGGAGATGCACAAGAAACCATAGCACAACCTTAATTTCCGACCGGTGTCATTTTCTGTAGGTCTCAAATGGGCTTCTCTGCTTAGATAAGACTAATAAACCTCTAGAAATTACAAATCAAAAGCTGACTTACACTATGCAAATGAAGCAAGTTCCCACTTTGTGACAGAGGATTCATTTGTACCTCAGATTAGAGGCTCCAATCTGTATTTCTTGGTGACTAATGAATCTGGCCTCTGCAGACCAATTTCTGTTCCACTCTAGTTAATGGCTGCAGCAGTATCAGTGCGAGCATTTTGACTATTCTGTCTCCCATTAGAGAAAGAAAAAAGGCTTTAATGCCACTTCGAAGTATCTTCCACCTGCCAGGAAGGTCGTGGTGGCTCACAATGCAGACAGAAAGAGGATATTAAAATGGATTAGGCTAATTAATCTTGCTCTGACAATAGCCTTGACCAACTTTTCCTATTCGTTTATTTGCACAATATAGTATTCCAGACCGACATCTTTCTATTTGTACAGTGCGTTCTGTTTCCATTCCCAGTGCTTTTAAATTGATCAAACAAATTATATATATGCTTAATGACACATTATGACTAGGTAAATGGGACAGAGTAAACAGGGTGTTTCAGCAATGCATGGCGTACTCAATGCACAGCATACTCAATGCACAGCTACATTATGCATTAATGTAAGAGCCTGCCTTCAATTGATTAACTGATTACTCTGATTGATTGGTTATTTTGTAAAAATAATGTAATCATGTCGCTGAATTCTTCTTCTTCCTTATTTACTGTTACTTTATATGCAGCTTAATGAACCTTAAAACGTGATGATAGAGTTGTTACAAGAAAGACTTCTTAAAATGGCAGCTTTATTCAGTTTTACAGTTTTGCCTTCCCCGATAACAGGGACAGTCAGTGGACATCTTGTTTGCTCTATCGATTTCCTTTTTTAACTGACCTTTGTGCAGGAATGGGAGTTAGTAATCTTTTTAAGTATCTACGAACAGGTACAGGAACAGGAGGGGGAGTGAGAGTGGACCGGGCTAATTTATATCCACTGAGTCAGCTTCATTTCATGCCTCCTGTAATAAAGAAGGCAGTTTGTCATAGACAAGTAGTTTACAGTGCTATGGCTGCATGAGTTGGGCTAAGTTTCCAGAAGGGTATTACTGTCATTTTAGCCTAAACTGCAGAATGCCAATTTTGGCATTAGTATTTTTAAACAGAAATTATACATTTTGACATTAACTTTAAGATGAAAGCTCCAGGCAAAACTTCCGGCATTTATTTTTACATTTTTCAGCACATTAATAAGACCGTCTTTATATCTGACGCGAGGCGAGTCAAATCTGCATGTTTACCACTTAGAGACCACACAATGCTAGTGGCTAACTGCACTTCTATTAATGCTAATCCAGCGAGAGGATGGAAAATATTTTTATGTTGAAAATAGTTTTCTAGTGCCATTAAATCACAGTAAACGATTCTGACAGTTAAGTATTATAATTGTCATCAGATAACGTTGGAAGTTTTCCCCAGCTGCCTAGGGCAATCAGACCTAATGATAGTTTTCTAATGAATGCAGGCAATTGTGGATACAGTGGACAACCTGCTCAGGCCTGAAGCTCTGGAGTCCTGGAAGGACATGAATTCTTCAGAACAAGCCCATGCAGCCACAATGCTACTCGATACATTAGAAGAAGGGGCTTTTGTCTTGGCTGATAATCTTCTAGAACCAACCAGAGTCTCAATGCCCACGGAAAATATCGGTAAGTAAATTTCTTTTCAAGCGTAATTTCAAGTGCTGTGCATTGCTTTGCACAAAATCAGGAAAAAATATTCCAGGTAGCAACATACTCTTTGAAAGCTGAGCTACACAACATTTGGTGGAAAGATAAATGCAGGGGAGACAGGCTTTTCTTGTTTGGTTCTTCAAAATTAGCATTCTTCTTTAGTGTCATTAATACAGTGTAAAATGGAAAGGAGTTGGTGTTGCAAAGTTGATTTACCACTGAAAAATCATTAGCAGAACGTATGGATATGAAGAGTGCTTAAACGGCAGAGTATGGATTTTTTGAGGTAACTGCTTTCTGCAGAGCTGCAGAAATGCTTTCCTTTTATATATAAACTGTTCCTAATGAATTTAAATTACTTTTTTGCAATGTACTCTGCCAGTTAAATATCTTAGGTGCTCAGAACATAGGCCAAATGTTTATATTAAACACGACTGCCTTCAGGTAAAAATGTGTTCAGTGAACTACATCTCCCATAATGCAGAATAGCTATGCTCCAGAGACTGCAAAATAGCTGAAGATAGTTGGAGCATAATTTGGAATTTAAGTGGTGACAGAGAAATGAAGGGGTTTGGTGTTAGAGATGTGCAAATATTGGTATGCAGGATGTGTTAAAGCAAAAACCATTGCTATGCATAAAATTAAAATTCCTTCACCTTATTACAGAGATTAATGTAGTCTCAGTGAGGTACAAGGAAGCTGAAAGTCTGGTAATTTGGGGGGTACCGAGATGGAGACTTGGAACAGACTGCAGAAATAAGACTCTTCACGTTTCAGTGTCTGCCTATTTGTAACTGTAGAAAATGATTCTGCCTGGTTTTTAGTTTGAGTAGGAAGATACTGGGAAAGGATGGGGAGAGGTGTTACAGTCTGTAATCAACGTAACTGCACCAGTTGTTTCTGAAGGAATGTGGGTAGAATCACAGAAAATCTCTCTCCGGACGTACACGAGCAGTTCCATGGAGCTCAGCAGACTGGTCTGTCTGAACATCACTTCTTGTGATAAGATGTCTTCAACTCATAGTAACACATTACTGATGCCATGCAAGACTGAATTCCCAGCGCACATGCACGTGTGGCTTAGAGAAGGAGAAATTGTTCCCTAATTTCATACCTTTTGTCAGCTTATAGCTTATAGACCAGTTCAATATAATGCAGATATTTGTCAACAAATTGACCACTCTGACCTATATGATTTTACATATCCAAGGGAATCCAGCCTCTGATGGTCATCCCATGAAAGCTTCCCAGTATACAATGTGCTATAAAATTAAAACTTAAGTAGGGCTGAGTGGCATATAAGTTTTCAATTTAAATATTTTTTTTTACCAGAAACAAAAAAACGGTTTCCTATAAACCTTAACACAGAATTAGATTTAGGAAAAAAATTAGAAATTTTTTTTTAGATAAGAATACACGGCATAAGTACATTTAGGTAGGCATAAGCATAGTTTAGTATTCATTTGCTGACTGTTTTAAAAACCCTTTCTATCTAAATCAATACTTAAAAGTACTAAATTTGTTAGCAGAGGATACTGCATAGATGTTAAGAGCTTCAAAATTAACATTTCTCTGCAACATGTGTGCGTGATGTTTTTAAGTGGATGTTTTGGGGGCACAAATTAAAACAAGGTTTGATGTCATGTTACAACTATTAAAGTGCTGGCATTTTAGCAGTGTGCACTACGTTTAGTTAAAGAAACCCTGAGTGCTTGAAACATGCAGTACAGACCTGTCTTACGGTGGCAAATGAGGACAGCAGTGTGAGAAAACGAAATAAAGAGTGAGGGGAAATACTGTTACCCAGCATATTGCAATCTGGCCAAGAGACTTTCTCTGCATTCTCCTTTTTTACCACTTTTTTTTTTTTTTCTTTTTTTCTCTGGTCTGCTTAGTTTTGGACGTTGCAGTGCTCATTACTGAGGGCCAGGTGCAGGACTTGAAATTTCCTCAGGGCAGTAAAGGAGGCAACTCGATTCAGCTCTCTGCAAGCACCGTGAAACAGAACAGCAGGAACGGTGAGTCTTGGGCACAGAGCGCTGAAACTCCATTAATTTTATAAAACCTACATTACCTCCCCTGGTTAAAATATTAAAACAAAACACAGCAAAACTGCTCTGTGGCTTTTTCTCGAACATCATGGGTACCTGGGCTTTTTTCTTCAAATCCATAGCCTGAAAATGCCTCTCTGTTTACTGATGCTTTACTGTCAGTTTATGAGAGTACAGGTTGCCGTCTTTCTGTAGACCTCTGTGGCGTGATGGTGGGATTTTTTTTTTGTTTTGTAGGATTAGCCAAACTGGTTTTCATCATTTACAAAAGTTTGGGGCGTTTTCTCAGTACTGAAAACGCCACCATAAAGCTAGGCAGCGACTTTGCTGGGCGGAATAGCACGATCGCAGTCAACTCCCACGTCATTGCAGCCTCTATCAACAAGGAGTCTAGCCGGGTGTACCTGACTGATCCTGTGCATTTTACGCTGGAACACATTGATGTGAGTTATGCTAATGAATTAATGGGAAGGTCATAAAATCAGCAAGAGAGGAAAGCAATGCAGAAAAAATAACCTTTTTTCCATTTGAATTTTAAATGTTGGACTAGGTCAGAGACACAAGCTTAGTTAAGTCTATGAACATAAAATTAAATGAGCCTGGTTCAGTGATTATTAGAACTTAAGTGTATTCTTAATGAAAGCTAATTCAGTAATCAACATGAAAATGTAAATGACTAATTTGTTTCTAACTGAAAATTAACTCTTACCTTAGTAGCAGGGTAGAAAATAACTTTTAACATTCTTGATGAACTGATGCAGCAAGTTTTAATGACAATTTAACTTTTTACATTAATTTTGGACCAAGTTCTGGAAGCCTATACAAATTGTGTAAATGCATTTATTCAGTGAAGAATAAAGTACTATAATTTGGTTCATTATACTTTAAATTTATGTATATTTTCTTCATGGTAATTATTTCATGTGTTTCTTTGCTTGTTAGTTTGGTCCTTTCTGTTTTCATGTCTCACATGGGAAAAGTAAATAATCACTGATGTGACAGAGAAAATATGGTTGGATTTTCATCTCATTTTGCCTCTTTTTATAAATCTGTTTTGATTGTTTCTAATCAAAATAGATAGGCATTGAGGAGTGAACCTTTTCCTGATATCTATTCACACGACTTTGGCCTGACCAAAGGTGAAAATAAAAGGAAAAAAACGATATTTTCAAATTCTCAATTACAAGAAAAATATCTTCAGAATAAATTTACAGTCCTAATTTTGCAGAAAGCAAAAATGGCTATAATGTACCATCAGCGCATAAAATCGTAAGATGGAAATTGTAATTGTTTAAAATTGGGTCTACAGTAATTGAGACTACACTTTAGAGTGTTTCGGACTATAAAGTCCCTTTTAAACTAGATGTCTTCCTTGTATAACATAGTCCACAATTTTGCTGATGAAAAACTTTATTGTCCGAAACATGCAAAGTTTAATCTAAATTACCCTTTACACATATTAAACAATTGTTATTGCCATCTTAGTGTGTAAAATCCTCATTTTACATTATGCTTTTATCTCCCAGCCTGACAATTATTTCAATGCAAATTGTTCCTTCTGGAACTACTCAGAGAGGACTATGATGGGATACTGGTCAACTCAAGGCTGCAAACTGGTTGACACAAACAAAACTCACACAACGTGTGCTTGCAGTCACCTAACCAACTTTGCAATTCTCATGGCTCATCGGGAAATTGTGGTAGGTAATGACGTTTCCAGCCATCGGCAGGGAACAAATGTTTAAAGATTTAGCTTTAAATTTTTAGCAAGACCCAAAATTGCTGGAGTTTCTTTGGTATTTATAGCTTCTACCCACTCTTCCCGAATCAGTTTGCTTTCTGTAGTGCTTTTATTCCTCACCCATAAAGTTACAAGCAAAATAACAGGAAAGAAAAACAAGGCAGGACAAGAATTTACTTCAAGTCGTGTTTTAAAGTTACTGAACAACTTTACAACTGTTTTACAGATTTCCCCTCAGTACCGCTGGAGAGTATCTGCAGGGGCAGCTGTGCAGGCTGTTCCCTGGAAGCACAAGTACCAGCTCTCCTTAGAGTAGGAAGGTCAAGAAGCTTCCATACCGGTTGTTTAAATGCTTCTTCATACTCTGAAATTTTGTTGTCTTGTTAAAGTACTTACTGGATGTCAGGGGGCCCGGAGCATGCAATATTTGCAAGGATGTGAGACTTCTCATAAAGCCATTGTATTCAGAAAGGTCACTGAAAAGATAATCAAGATGACAAAAGTGATTCCGTCGCGACTAAAGCAAGGAACCTTCGCAACTAAAGCAAGGAACCTTCTTTAGCTAAACGTGAGATTAGAGCTGGAATTACATGCGTAGCATATTCTGGATTTTGTCCCAACTGGTGTGTAAATCATTGCTTTCTTCTCCGCTGTGGAGTTGCGGGTCTGTAGGAAAGAACATGTCCTCTTATAGGAAGTTCCAGGGAAAGCTCTCCTCTTTGCATCAGACCCTAAGTGGCACTTTCAGAATGTTATATTTCTCTACTTGTTCTTGTCTGACAAGTTTACAGCGAGCCATAGGAAAAGTAAAAATGCTCTCTGATCTGGCTAAAAAAGTCACATTTTCCTCTCAGACCTGCTCCTCTTCTACTTACCCTAATCTTCCTCTTCTGGAAAGCTGACCTGAGACTGAGAAATTACTGAGTACATTTTGCCCATCTCATGTAACGAACAAGTAACTTTCTGGATGCTACCTGTGAAAATAGTTTTTTGTTTATACTCATAAAGAGTCATATTAATTTTCTCCATTCTTGGTTATTTCTAGTACAAAGATGGAGTGCACGAATTGCTCCTCACTGTCATCACCTGGGTGGGAATTGTCATCTCTCTTGTTTGCCTGGCCATCTGCATCTTCACATTCTGTTTTTTCCGTGGCCTGCAAAGTGATCGTAACACTATTCACAAGAACCTTTGTATCAACCTATTCATTGCTGAGTTCATTTTCCTAATAGGCATCGATAAGACGGAGTACAAGGTAAGTTTTCTCTGTGTGTACTGATCTTGTTCTTTGACATGACTGTTTGAAATGGATTTGAATTAAAACATGACAACACTGCCAAGCTTTCAGTATTCTGACACAGCAAGGCTGAAATAAAAGCTCAGTGTGAAAATAAGATAGACATGTTCATAAATAGTATTTACATCCATCAAAAATATCACTGTGGCCTTAATTTCCCACTTACTGCAATGTTTTTCATTTTCAGTTGAGAAACATTGGTTATTAATGAAGCAGGTGGTTAAACTTTTGAAAGAGGAGATGAAATTAGATGTTGATGTGCTAGGAACGTATATGTTTTCTCTATATATTCATATGTCCCAACAGCTATTGACTACTTTTTTTGTGTATAGATGTATACATAGGTATAGAGCCTTATCTATACACATTTTATGCATTTTTTACAGTGCACATTCCTGCAGGGTTTTTTGGCAGTATTGGTGAAATTGATTCTGAAATGATTCATTGGGTTGAAATCTAATAATTCAGTATAGTTTCATCCAGAACTCAGCCAAAGGGGAGAGAATTCAGACTGATAACTATTACGACAGTAGAAACTTCCAAATTACAGCAGATAAAAATGGCTTGATGGCCTCTTCATAATTTTAAATAAGCGGTATTACATTATGCATCTAGAATCAACTGTTCATGTCTCAGGTTATCTAAACTGTAAGTCCTAAAACCCTATCAGATTCAAAATTAAGGAGTTGCTTATAAAATTGAAAAGTCCACTCTTATAATTGAAAACTGGGGGATGAGGGCGCGATTTCCTTATCTTCATTCACACTGTTCAGCTAATTTACTTTCTGTAGCTTCTGAGCACACATTAGTATTTTCATATGTTTTCAGGTAGGGAAAATGCTCCTGAATTTGTGAAAGATCTCCGATAGAAGTATATGCAGTTCTATTACACACTATTTAATTGGAAATGTGATGATGTGAAGATTGTGCGGTTTATATTTCCATCTCTTTTTCTTTGCAGATTGCATGCCCAATATTCGCAGGTCTCTTACACTTTTTCTTCCTGGCAGCCTTTGCCTGGATGTGTCTAGAAGGAGTGCAGCTTTATCTAATGTTAGTAGAAGTATTTGAAAGTGAATATTCTAGGAAGAAGTACTATTATGTTGCTGGCTACCTCTTCCCTGCTACAGTAGTTGGTGTCTCAGCAGCTATTGACTATAAGAGCTACGGAACAGAGAAAGCGTAAGTAATTGCAAGTGACCTGAGTGTTTTTCAAGTGAATAATTTTTTAAAGCCTGTTAGCTGTCAGAGGGTCCCTGACAGACTAAAATACCATCTGAAAGCTTTATTGGTAAGAGAATGGCAATGCTGTGCACAAATTACAATCAAGTCTTTTGTAATTCTCTAGGTTCAGAGGATTTGTACTCTAGAGAGACCAATTCTAAATTATGGTCTTTCTTTTAACACAAAAGATTGACCTGAAACAAATTGAAAAAGTAAATAACTTTTTGGCCTCAAATGTATATTAAGTAAAAATTCTCAACTTAAAGTATCTGACAGGCCTAACCACCCAGTTTTAAGCTAATGCTTCATTAGGTCTCTTTGTTCAACTGTCCCTCTAGCTAACTCTTGTCCTGAATTACGACAGTACAATATTCCAACCCATATGTTTCACTTTGATAATGTTTTATCAGGCGAGTAGAGCAGGATTAAAATTAGCCACTGCCTTTTATTTACGAAAATACAGATATAGGTAGAAAGTGACAGAAGGTAGACAGAAAACATTTCTGAGGATTTGAGTTGCTGGAGGCATCAGTTTGCCTTCCAATAGTGTTTACTTTGTCCTTTGATGAAATTAGTTACAGAATGGGAAGATACTGTTGACTACAAGAAAGCTGCTTGATTTTGCTACTGATGAAAGACAAATAAGAGCAATTCAGCAGGGAACTGGGCTGTACAAAAAACAAATCGCTAAGTGAAGTCAGCCCTAATAGGTTTACACGTCATTTAGTCTGATATCATATGTATTCTTTCTCTACTTTTCAACTCCCGGTTGGGGCATTTTATTTATACCGTGTTGTTTTTCAGCAGAACATGGCATCTGAGCATTCTCTGTCTCATATTCCTCAGGAGTAAGCACTTTGCCTATGATACACAGTTAAAAGCAGATTTTGAAGATTACATGGAAAAATATTTACTGATGTTAGATTCATTAGTCCATGATAGCACCTGTGACCAAACCTTTTGGCTGAAAGGAGAGCGAGCTCATTTTGGTTTTGTTTCTATGTTAGCTATTCCTGATGATGTATTTTCAAGTTCAATAGTGTTACTAAACAGGGCTCATCAGAAGAGTTTCAGGTTAGGAAAAATTGTCCATGGACTTAGTGATTCTGTGCAATGTTTATCACTGTTTACTGTCAAGATGTTAGTTCAAGAGGTATTTTTGCACTTTGCATTTATTGAATTGCGATGCTAGTGCAATCGTTCACTTTTCATTCTCTTTCTTCCATGATAGTTGCTGGCTCCATGTAGATAACTATTTTATCTGGAGTTTCATTGGACCTGTTACCTTCATTATTCTGGTAAGAACTTTTTTTTTCCTTTCCTTTCAAGTTGCCTCACAGCAAAGTTAAAAAGACTGAATAACGTCAGTCAATACTATCCTTATTCACAAGACATTTCATGAAAATGCTTATAAACAATTTGTAATGTGACCAATGGTTATATAAATGTTTAGAAATCTTTTAAAGAGTGCTGACAAAATGATTAATTGTCAAAGCTGTGGTGGCACTTCAGCACAGCCATTTTTTCCTAATGGCTTGAACTCTGAAGGTCGTATTGACATGTGTAGTCATATGAAAAATCAATGAAGTACTAAACACAGGGGTTTTTTTAAAGGAACTATTATTATTGCTTTCAATTGAGTCACTATTGTACACGTTCCAGAATTTAACTGCTAATTATCCAACATAATTATCTCAAAAGGATGTTCTAATGCATTGGATAATTAAGTAAATCTTCTATTTCATTACACTTACACAGTATTTGTATGTGTATTTGCATACACATATGCATATTTTTCCATGACTACTTCTGTGTGTGTATTTATGCTACATGTAATGTATGTCAGACATACAAGTTCATCTGCTTTAGTATAAATAATGGAATATTACGTAACCAGTAGAAAGCATATCCACGTTCTTGCAGTCATTTGAGTAAAGTCGTTGTACGCACGCACACCCATCTGTACACCCACAGCTGCGTGCCCCATTGTCCGTTTCGGATTGAATGTTGTGTTCGTACATCAATTATTCAGGTAAAAAGCTCATAGTCATCTGTCAACTCAGGGAAAAAACATCTCCCTGTTATTTCAGACTAATAATACCAACACTGCACAGCATAGGAATTTGGAAGGCAAGTGAATGCAAGATGTGCATTTTCACTCACCTTGTTCTCCTCTGCTAGTTCAGTGTCTTTAAAGCCTGGCTATACTTGGGAAATATTCTAGAAGGCTGGTGCTGGGGACGTAGGCTGTGTGCATAGAGAGCTTTTCTCATAACTGGTGATAGTTTGGAAGGATGAATTAATTTGTTTTCATGCTCTTGAAAGTCTAAATAGTTACTTGTTCCCCTGCCTTTATACCGTAGTAGAGTTGTGAAATGTTAACAGAAGTTCAGTTCCCTTGAATTTCCAAATTCAGGAATTGTATTTTGTCATTACGATGTTTTCAGCCTGAAGCACATGCATCAGGCATAATTTTCAAATTTTTGACTTTCATAGATGTATATGCCAGATGTACTTTTTCAACACTTTTTGTAGCTTATAGTTTACGTTACTTCTCCATGTAAAAATAATCTGATACTTTGATTATGGAACTTCCTATGAAAAATGTACCTGGCCAATCTTTTGTAGGTACTCTATTCCTTCCTGGTATCTTCTATATTGAAATAAGCTTATGTATATTTAGGTTGGTTTTACTCTCCGTTTATATCAAAAACTACTTCAATCCTTGAGCAGTTGCTTAAGAAACTATAGTTGTGCAGTGTAGAAGTTGCTTGAGTTCATTGGCATATTTTCAAAGAAATCGGCGTAGATGCCAAAACTCATCTGTGTATGAGTTGAGTTAGAAAAATTACAGTGTTTGTAAGATTTAAGTATAGACCATAATAATTGTACAGAGTTTATTCCTAATACATTTAAATTAAATCAAGTCTCAGGATGATAGGGATTCTTTTTTAATTAAGCCTACAATTACAATTGAAAGATATACTTAGTATTTTCAATATGATAGACAATATTTTTGAAGAGAAAGTTATTTCTTGGTGTTGTTGTAATCTTTACTGGGAAATTGTTCTAGGTTGCATGCCACAATAGTTCAGTTACCTCAAGTCTGATTGTGTGGTGATAATTTTGCTTTTTGTGTCTAGCTTTTTATTTTATTGTTACTGGGACTATTTTGCTAAGTCACCTCTATTTCTCTCCCTTGCTTTAAAATAATATTTCACGTGGGGAGCTTGGGGCATTGCTGACGGCTTTTTCACTTCCTCATAACCAGGTCAGAGTGAGAATAGAGGTGAAGGACATTTAATCATATTGACCATGTACAGACATAGTTCACTATTATTTACTGGCCATGACATTATTATCCTCCAGCAAATCATTTAGGCTGAGACGCAAAAGGCCTTTGGGAGCAGTATTCCCAACTTCAAAAATATGAAACAGCAGGTAGCAATCACAGCACAGTTCCTGGGAGTAATTCTTCTCTAGCAATTGCTTTGCCCTCTAATCGTCCCAACTGAGAAAGCAAGAGAGACTGGAGGAAGAAGTGTGAGAAGTGTAATGGCTGAAAAATAATATGTCACGTGCAGTGTAACCGAAGAGCCGTGTTTGTAGCGTAGCTTGCTTAGTGTCAGCATTTCACCTTGGCAAGCTTTTTAACATGTTGATCAAATCACTTTTGTGATTCTCAGTTTAATAGTACTGTCAGTGCACATAAACTCTTTTTTGACAATATTGCTTACTACTTCAATTCACAATTTTTTCTCTGAGTTTATAAGCATTTGCACTTGTATCTGTATACGGGTTTGCACAAAATAAGGATGGGAAGTATAGGGGGAAAGTGTGAAGTTCCTTCTGAGGAGCTTTCAACTTCACAATTTCCATAGCCTGTCATGCCTTTGGGCCACCAGGGTTATTATATCTATGAGAAAGGAGCATGTAAGTAATGAGCGGTGGGAAACCATTAGTATGCCTGAAATGGTTTAATGAAAGCTTGGATCATGATACGTCAGGAGCTGTTCTTATCATTTGGACAGCTCCATCTGCATCTTTAATAATTAATTCAGTTCAGTAAGAGTTCAACGTGCACCCTCATTTAGAAGCCTTCTTCAGAGAGCACCTCTCTCGCTGCCGGTCCCAGAGAGAAATAGGCTTCTGCATGGCTAAGAGCAAAGATCTGGAGATACAAGAGCAGTTTTAGAGCTGCATTTGCCAGGTAACAAAAGCTCCGGGGAGTTCAAGAAGGGTCAGAACATGTGCAGTTCAGCTAGGTTACTTCAGAGTGGTGTTTCTGTTCTTCTGTCTTATCATATCCATGTCAGCACTGCAGGCTGTGTGGAATGAATTTTAAGCTGCTAAGCTCAGGCGGACGTGATTCAATTGAGCAGGTTGATGGCTATAAAACAAACAGTGCACTCCTGTAATCTGTGGTCAGAAAAGCCTGAGCATTTTGACTTCTATGTAGATCCATATTCATTGAGATCCAAGGAACGGGTGATGTTGGTTTGACTTTAATTCAGCCAAAACCACTGGAGTTTGCTTCTCGCAGATGGAGCCAACATATTAGGCTACCGAAGGTTGTTCAAGCAAAAATTCCTAGGATGCCCTGTTTCATTAACATAAGAAAGATAGTTTCTTTTTTCACTCAGGTTGAGGCATTATTTCACCAAAGTCAGTGGACACATACATACAGATCCACGCATAATCCAGTTCCGCATATGAAAATGGGCTGTATTTGTAAGCTTATGTATATAAATAATACGTGTATATCTTTGTGTGGTAGGCACTTGATAAATGGTATTTATCTATTGCTCACAGGGGGAAATTTATCATAATTATTGCAAAATATAGCTTTATCTGGCTACTAATTCATTGTCCCTGCAACGAATTCCAATCAATTAGTCTTCTGTGCAGGTTATTATATCCACTTTTTTAAAAACTTAATTTGACTTAAAGACACTACCTCTCTCAAAATGACATAGGTTTCAGGTGCCAGAAAGACACAATTTCTACTTACACCATTTTTCATGTCTTGTACCTTCTGATTTCCAAGCCAGAAATTGCCCTCTGTGTATTGGCTATGAATGAAGCATGATCTTCCAGGGTGCTGGATTTGATTATTACTGTAAAAATTCTTCAAATTTTATATTTTAAAGTAGTTGCTTTTTATTTCTTAATCCATATCTAATTGTCTGTCTTTCACTCCAATTATACTTGTCATATTAAGAGACAAGTAGGAACTGGTATTTTAAAAGGTGGTGAAATTATTTTTTTTCACTTTTACATACATTTCTAAAATCAGAGTATAGATTAAGCTAGTTCTCTATGTAATCCAGTATCCTGTCCCTTATAGTGGATAATATATTTTAGAAATTACAGTGAAACCCTAGTATAAACATCAATTAAATACTATCAATCCAAGTTTTTGCTTATTTTTATCAGCTGCTGTTTTAAGAGATCTCACATTATAGCTCCACCTACTGTAACTGTGTGTTTTGTCACTCTCGGTGTCACAGCAGCAGCTTCAAATCCAAACATGATGCCTGTCCAGGCTTTTTTATCAAGGGTATAATTTCGTGACTGTTTGAGATGTATACATTGTAGCTCTGTGTGTGTTTACATGATGCATTTGTATTTTCTATTGTCATTGAAGGAGAGCCGTACTGTTCAGGCGCAGGTTTTGGTTCACCTGGGGTGGATGCAGGCCAGTTGTCAGGATGAGTCCCAGCCACTCACTAGCCCTTTATGTTACGTGAAGTGATGAGAAAGTCGACATTGTCAAAGGCCCATTTTTTTCCCTTACAAGTTTCAAAAAGCCCATGTTTCCATTCATGTGGGCCTTTAGCTGACCCTAGAGTACCTCGTGTTTGTGGTGAGGATTCTTCTTAAGGAAAGGTGTCCTTCTCAGACCATCTGTCAAGCTTGGAAAAGGTCTACAGATTCATTTGCTTAGATCAGTAACAGTTCATTTCTCAAACAGTCATGAAGCAATTCGGTTGCAGGTCCAACCTCCTGCTCAAAACAGGCTCAGCTCTGAGCTCAGACCGGGTTGCTCAGGGCTGAAAAAGCTTTTGTTACACAAAGTTGGTACAAATGAATGCAAGAGCACTAAGTTTGTTTCCTTCTCCCCCCAGGTATTTCTCACCAAGAAAAGTAATTCAGCCATTCCTTCTAAAGGCAATTACTCTCCAACAAGTTCCCTTCCCTTCCCTCACTTGGTGTCTTGTGTAATATAGTGGCAGGATGCCCAACAGTCTTTAACTCATGAGTTCCCCCCAAACAGTTTCTAGATGACGGAGCAGTAAGGGAGCCGAAAGAGAATCTATGGAAAGGTTTGGTTACAGTATTTGTAAGGGTGCACAATAGGCTTTTGGTAATGATAGAGTGTGTAACAGAGATGCCAGCCTGTTGGAACAAGCAGCAAACCATGGTCTTTTGACTGCTGAAACTGAAAACTATGCAATATTTCACAGTGATGGAGAAACAAGTATCATATGCTCTGTTGTCATAGTTACATTGTCTTCAAGGTACAGTATTTTGATTTTTTTTGCTTTTTCCCCACTTCTTTTCTTGGAGGGACTTTTTCAGCTACTGTGATACAGCATTATTATTTCTGTGGGCTGCTTCTGGGGTACCTAAATTAGAATTAAAGTGTCTATTAAGAAACTGCTATGTACAGTTATTCCCTAGACCAGTACAGACAGAGCTGAGTATCTCCATAAAACCTGCTTAACACACTGGAGCTTGGCTCAGGCTCTGGGGTAGGGCCATGTCTGCTTGGATGTCACCGAAGGAACCTCAGTACGTAAATACAAGCTTTTGTTTTTCACACGTCAAACCAGCACTTCAGTCGTACAAAGAATCAGAGGATAAAACCCTCTCATTTCATAAGGCAATCATTTATGGGCTAAGCCATGTCTATGAGTTTTTGATCCAAGAACGATGTTGCTAGTACAATGCAGGATACTCCAGGGTAGCTACTTAGGCAAGGATTAGCTTCCAGCTGTGCTGTAAATACTGTTCTGAACTGGATTGTGCACTCCCAGTTGCATAGGTTGCAGCCAACGTTGATTTACATGTTAGGATTGGCATGAGGCATGTCTCTTAGCTCTTAATCTGTTTGTTTTCACAGAAAGTAAATCTAAGTTACATTTTTTTAAGCAGGCTGGAGAAGTTCATGTTATGTGAGCTACCAAAATGTGCAAGAAACTTTTTCAAATACGGAAGAAGAAAGTCTGCCTGCAGAGGCGTGGAACTGAGGGTCAGGTCATGGGCAGAGCCCTTGCCCTGTGTCCCGTGCAAAGGCCAGGGAGAGAAGCAACTTCTTTTCACACCCAAGTAACTTCCGCAGTACAGTGGAAACCTAGATAAGAGGAACGAAGGGATCACAATGTGTCGTGGTTTAACCCTGGCCAGCAGCTAAACCCCACCCAGCCGCCCGCTCACTCCCCTGCGGTGGGATGGGGGAGAGAACCGGAAGGGGTCTCGCTTCTAAGTGAGAAAACTCATGGGTTGAGATAAGGACATTTTAATAAGTAAAGCAAAAGCCACATACACAAGCAAAGCCAAACAAGGGATTCATCCCTGCTGCCCACCGGCAGGCAGGTGCTCAGCCATCCCCAGGGCGTAACGGTGACTTGGGAAGATGAATGCCATCACTCCCAACATCCCCGTCCCCCCCTTCTTCTTCCCCCAGCTCTATATGCTGAGCATGCCGTCATATGGTGTGGGATACCCCTGGGGTCAGTAGGGGTCAGCGGTC